CAAAACAATAAAAACAAAGAAAAAAGAAAAACACATAAAATCCAACATCAGCAATACACACACAAGCAGCAACCCAATCTTAGCGACTCCATGCGAACGACTAGAAATCCACACAATCACACTCAGTCACACACACACATAATATCACACGTGCGCTCACCCACGCAACTACACGCTCACCTGGTGACACGCACACAGAGACATACAAACACAAACTGTCACAGACAGACGGACGCACACGCACCCACACACACACAAACACCCGCACACGAGCAGACAAACACACACACACACACACACACACACACACAGACAGTCGCTCGCTCGTCAACGAAAAGGGTTGAAGATACCTCTTGCGTTTCAAACTTGGCGACACAACCGCGAGCCTCCCGTGCTAGCCCCCGACAGCGTAGAAATGTTAGAGTCCGACTGGACATACACTCCACGTAGTCATCCAGACTCTCCCTAAGGCGCAAATGACTCAGCCATGGCGAAGGCGCGCTCTCTTAACGCCATGAAAGCCCTCTTCACTGACCCTCAAGACCATGAAAAACAGGAGTACCTGCAGAGGTCTCGAACTTCTTTTCCAATGATCTCCTTGATGGCTTTCAGCTCCTTTTTTTCAAGCTCAGCGAGCTCCTTTACCTCAAAGAAAGGCACTCGGGCAGCCGTGCGCGCCGCTACCACTTGGGGGTTCAGAGGATCATCCAAAAAATGCTTTTCCTGCTGCTCCGCGTGCTGCTCTTCTCCGTGTGGCACTCTTTCCGCAGAGGCAGGATACACTTTCTCGGGAGGGTTCCGCAAACTCTCTGGCCGCCGAATGGCAGGGGAAAGCCACCCCAACATCTTCCCGAGATCGTGCTTAGGGGATGCTTTTGCCGGATGTTGTCAAGAGCTGTCGCTTTCTTTGAGCTGCCGTCAAGCTAGATAAAGTGCCAGTCCACCGCTCACCTGATGTCTTGCACTCGCAGTGGTGGCGCTGCTCCCACTATCCGTGGTGCTCTTGCAATGAAGTGACAGCCGTGCAGGCCTCTTCATTCATGAGGACGGCAGCCGCAGACACCTGTGGCTGCGCGTTCCTGTCGAACCTGCGCGTTTCCACACGACTGCAGCCTGCGCAGCTGCAGCATCTGTCCCTACGAATGGCAGGAAAGGCGTTCAATTGCATCGAACGTGCTCCTGGTACAGCTCTGGCCGGCGCTGCAGCAGCTGCTGCATGCAGGGGTCACTGCAGCCACACCGCTGCGGCGGTAGGCACGCAATCGTTCGGGATTTCAGAACTGCGTATCTTCTGGAAGGCGTCCTTCGTGTCTTCTTTCAATATTAAAATTGAAGTGCGTTGCTTTTCCGTCGCCTTCTGCATCAGGGACGCACCGCCATACGCAGACATTGCTGTCCATGCTCTTCTCCTTGATGCAATGGCTTCGAAGGCATGGAGCCTGTTGCCGCTGCGAGAGTTTACGCGGACCGCATTTCTCCAACGAATTCCTCGTTCTTCACTGACGCTTGGCGCAGCAGCATCACCAGCAGCCGCTACTACCCTCGGGGGGAGCATTAGCCAACACCTGCTGACGGCTAGCGGGAGTCTAGCAGCAGCTCCTGCGGTAGCACAGCTTTCCCAGCACCCCCGCCGCTACGTGCATGGGACAGAACGCAGGCGAGGCTTACAAACTGAGTCGCGAGATTCGCAGGAACCAAGCGGCGCGCACCAGGGAGAGCAGCATTCAGAAGCTGAGCGGCATGATGATCAACAGAAACAACCCTGTAAGGAGAAGGTCTTTGACGGTGGCGCTTTGCCGCCTTCCTCCTCCTCCTTCTGGCTTAGTCTGCAGCGCAGCGGTACCCCCACAGATATCGAATTCTGCTTCTTCTGCTGCGAGCCAGAGATCTCCCTCTGCTTTTGACACGTCGACGTGATCGCCGCCTTCCAGAGGCCTCTGCTGCTGTTCATGGTGCTGTCGCTGCGCCGGCTGCTCCCTCGCAGGTGCATTGCTTTGTGTGGGATGTCACGTGAAAGTTTCTATCCTGCATGGTTCGCGAGAGAGGTGTGCGTGTGCTGCGCTGTGCACAGCGACACCCTCCACACAGCTCCCCCCAAGCGATGAAGTAAGTCTACAAGAAATTAAGACCTCAACGCGTCTAAACAACGCCCTCCTACCCGTAACAACACCACGTTGGAGGAAGCGTCTTGAGGGTGGAGCAGACACGCGGAGCTCCCCATGTCAACAGCTGGTGGCCGTGGAGGTGGCTAGCTGGCTAGCTAGCACCGCCCCGCCAGCTGGCTTCTCTTGAACCCCCTCCGTGCATCTTGTGTTGCTGCCTAGCTAGCTGTGTGAAGGCCTCTGCAGCTGTAGCTCTGCGTATCCTTCCCTGCACGTGCTGTCTACAGACTGACTTTTGTTCTGTCAAGGCTTGGTGGTTTCAAACACCTGTTGCCGCAGCATCCCACCGTCCTCTGCGCGTGTGCACCTGTTGCTTGATCTGTGCGGCTCTGCGCGCAGGGGTTTGAAGCCAAGCTGCGTGATTTGGTGGAGAGCACTCCCATCGTTCTATTCTTGAAGGGCCGTCCCGAGGCTCCACTGTGCGGCTTCTCCTCAAGGGCACTTGTGCTCCTGGAAGCGGCAGGAGCAGAGTCTTACACCTTTGTGGACTGCAGCATACATGAGCAGCAGCCGCCGCAGCTGCAGGAAAAGAGGCGCAAGCTGAGAGCTGCGGTCTGCAAGCTCTTTGAGTGGGAAACGTTGCCTCTTCTGGTGGTGAAGGGCAGTGTGGTGGGAGGGGCTGACATTATGGCGCAACTTCATCAGCAGGGAAAGCTTGCGCAGCTACTTGAGGAAGCAGAAGCAAGAGGTAGTCCGGAGGCGCCTACAGCACGGGCGAAGAAGGGAGGCAGCAACTAGAGGATCGGCAACGCGTTCGAGTCGCTGGGTGTTGTTTGTGGTGGGATGGGGTGTGTGTATGTGTGTATGTATCGGTGAGCGAGGTCGCCGTCTTTTGCAGCCTCTGCCAGGAGCATTACATGCAGTTGTACTGCCTTGCGCAGGGGGATGGACAGACGGACACTTGCAGCAGCAGCTGCTGTTTCTGTGCAGCAGCCGAGTGCGTGATGTTGCATGACGCCTTAACGCCGCCCCTAAGTTCAGAGAGCACGCTAGGCGTGCTGGCGGGTGTCTGTGTGTCTGTGTGTGTCTGTCTGTGTGGAGTTTTTGTTGCCTAAGTCCACCTATTTGCGGCGACAGGCATTGTAGTGTGGGGCCGCTTTGTAAGAAGCGGCTGCGCCTCGCATATCTTCTAGAGATCACACTTTTGGAATTACACACTGAGGGTAGCGAGTTTTTTGGAGGGGGAGCGGCCTGGTTATTCATGGGCAGCCTGTCGTCTGCAAGCCTTCGCTGCCCCTCCTTCCTTCCCGAATACATACAGCACACGTCGTGCCTAGAAACCCTGTATAATAGGTAGGCCATGCGCCTGCTGCTTTTGCATACATACACATGCAAACAACGAGGCACATACAAACTCACACTCCTCCCTGACAGCGGCCTCGTTTCCCGCAGGTAGGTCTCGCGCTTAGTTTCCTTACACCAGAGACTCACCAGGGGAGGATCAGCGCCCTGGTGGGCGAAGACGCTTCAAGCTGCATGCGCTGTGAGCGGGAAGGCGAAGTTGCAAAAAGCCCCCTGTCGTAGACTCTTCGCCACCGAACTCGCATGCGTAAGGAGGAAGGCCTCCCCAGGGGTGCTCAGGTCACCAGTGCTATCTCGAAGCGCCTCACGCATGCGACTGTGCGTAGACGCACAATCGCATTTCAAAACATTATACAGTTGAACGTACTGCGATGAAGGGAGGGAAGGGAGGGGGCCCTTCTCCCTCAGTGGCATCTTCTCTCTTCGTTAAAGAAAAAAAGAGAAACGGTATGCACTCCTCTCCAGTGCCCGTCGCTTGCGCTACTGGAGGAGGCGCCCTGGACAGTCGCAGCCGTTCTATGCATGGAGAGGTGGACGGTGTCGCCTCTGAATGCAGCTGCACTGGCTGCCTCCCCCCGTCTCATCAGGGGGCTTGCTCTTTTGAAAACTTGGGTATGGTGGAGCGCTGAAAGTCGTTGAGCTCATAGGCAGCGAGCAAGAGGTCCCCCCAAAAGGACGTGTACGAGAATTCGGGGTTTGCCTGCGTAATGGAGCCGTCTTCGCATGTCAGCGTGTAGGAGGCATTTTCCTTTTTCTGCGCCGTAAGCCACTTGAAAAGGCTAGCCACCTGGTTTGTGCCTTTCATCGCCTTTTTCGCGACGAATGTCTTGATGGACGTCGCCACAAGGCTTGGTAAGATGCCTTCTATGGGAATTTCCGCGAGGGAAAGGCGGTACGTGAGGTCTGGTACCGGGCGAGACACCGCGTTGTCGCCAGTGCGCTGCGCGCCGCCTGCTTGAGCGCTCCCCCCCTTCGGGCAAACGACATGCAAAGGCGCGCTAGAATTAGGATTGAGCGTGCAGAGATCCTCTACGTATACTGGCTCGAAGGCGACCACTTGCATGGCACTATTGAGGGTAAGGAGGGCCGGAAAGGGGCCGAATTTCTGGCCAAGGGAACTTGTGAGCATGCACCCAGAAGTAGGTTTTTTTTCCCAGAAATTGATTTGCGGACCGCCCGATACACCGGAAAGAGAGAATCCTTCAGATGCAGTCTCCACTTCTTCAGTCTCGACAAGGTTCTGAGAATCCTGAGGCTTGTTCCATACGCCTTTACTAGGCAAGGTCACCACGCCGTGAAAAGTGCCCAGCCAGGAGCATAAAATCCACAGGTGCAGACACCGCGATGCGAGCCGCCGCATCATCAGATGCCGGGAACCTTATGCGGAGACGCTTCGGCTAGGGCGCTGGCGAGGCACACACAGTGGGCATAGGACCATTTCACGGCGGTAACCTGTCGTGTTCGAATCCGGGAGGCCAGAGTGGCGCGCTCCGTGCCCCCTCAAAGGCGCTCCCAAGAGAACAGCTTAACCGCGCATGCGGCCAGATAGAGGAAGAGCAAGAAAGAAAGATCGAGACAGGTTTACATTAGATACCGCAATCCCCGGTTCTCCCAGCAGGCAATCGAACGGACGGCCCTCTACTAAATCTTCACGCACACGCCAAGCAAGCCTGGCGATCAAAGCCCCGCAAAAAGGCTCTACATAAGGAGCACTTCCATGAGAAACGTCCTGCTGGTAATTTCTTGACGCCGCCGATTGTGCCGCTGCGCGCTTAGGCGCCCGCGCGCGCTGTTGCGGATGGCCCTCTGAAAATATAATCTTTGCACACAGAAGGGAGGCGTTTCAGAAAAAGCCTATTTATTCATTTTGGATGCTGGAAGTCGCCAAAGTGGCGGGCTTCTTTGAACCGAGCCACCGACGGACGCAGAAACAAGGCACCTGCCCTTTCTTCAAGACCGGTTAATGGGCAGAGCACGACGAGCAGCGCCTACGCAACCGTTCTGCATCCCTGTACGGCGTAAGAGAGACTTGCATGCACAATCCCTAAGGAAATATAAAGTTATGCTGCTGTGGATAATTATATTGGCTGTTTGTTTTAATAAAGACTTTCGGAGCTCCTTTTCCTCCTAGGGGCCCAGTGTTTCAGCATGCCGTGCACCACCACCTGTATGGGTACTGGGGGTGGTGTGGTCGGCGCTGGACGGTGCGTCGAACCCTGGGTATACTCTGTTTCCTTGTAGCTATCTTTCAGTTGCAAGTTATTGCAGCTGTTATTGCAGCCTGTGGAGTCTAACAGCCCCTTCGTCTTTCATTGCTGCTGCTGCTGCTGCAGCGGCAGCAGCCTTCTTGCTTCCGTCATGCCTCGTCCAGCAGCATTTTCGGCAGCAGCAGCAGCAGGCATGGCACCCACAAAGCAACAGTCGCTGCTGTGAGCTGGAATACCGCAGGAACTCACGCATCTCAGTGGAGGCTCCACCTCGGAGAGTCGTCGAGGGTGGCAACCCCGTGTTTGCTCTTGTGGCTGCTGCTGCTTCTGCTGCTGCTCAACTGGCGCACACAGACGCCTGTGGCGTCGAGGAGGGATGCATGTTTGCCCTTGCTGCTCCTGCTGCTGCTGCTGTTGTTGCCGCTGCTGCTTTCTATAACGCTCCGCACGGTGTGGAGGGTGTCGTCTGTGCGCTGCCCAGGGGAGGGGTGTGCCTGCCTGTGCGTCGCTCCACTTTGTCTGCTGCAGCTCCTTCTTCTCCAAGAAATCACCAGCAGCGACCACGCCAGCCCAGGAAGCCTCTCGCAAGAGACCCCTTCCCGCATCCGAGCAAGAAAAGCAGCTGCAAGGATACCAGACGCACCCCGAGCAACCACAGGATGAGGCTGCTGTACTGAAAAAGGCGAGAGCGACGGACGCGCCAGAAGGACGGCGCACAAAGAGGCACGACTTGGAGCAGCAGCAGCAGGATGAGGGTGCAGAGGCAGCCCTCTTCGATGAAGGGGAGGGCGAAGGCGACCAGGCAACAGCGTCAGAGCAGGCTAGGGCAGCTGCAGCATCTGCAGTGTCTCTTTCAGCATCGGCTGTAAATACAGCGGGTTCTCCAGCTGCTGCGGCAGCGGCTGGAGACGGTGCAGAAGCAGCAGCGCCTTCTAAGGCGATGCAGGCAACTCCAAAGAGCAAGGGGAAGAATTTGAATGCCACAAAGGCAGCAGCGTCAGCACCAGCAGCAAAGGCAGCAGCGTCAGCACCAACAGCAAAGGCAGCAGCGTCAGCACCAACAGCAAAGGCAGCAGCGTCAGCACCAGCAGCAAAGGCAGCAGCGTCAGCACCGGCAGCAAAGGCAGCGGCTACGGCAGAGGACACAGATGGAGAGGCGTCTTCTATTTCAGGTGCATCGGCAGGGAAGGCGACACATCGCGCTGTAATGACACATACGGCGGTGGCTGGTTGGAGAACTTAAGAGGTTTCAAGAGCTCCATGTTTTTGCGGCTGTCTGCAGAAGATGAAGACTTTGAAGACATCGACGAGGATGAGGATGCCTCTACCGAAGGCAAGAAAACTAAAGGTAGGCTTATTGTACGAAGAAGTAGGGTGCACGGGTGGGAAAGGTTTACGAGCTGGAGTAGGCTTTTACAACGAATGCGTCTTATGAGGCGGTTGGCTAGCGCCTCAAGGCTGTTAAACTCGCATTGATCCTCCTTCACGCGCGGGAGTGTGGGAGTATATGTATATCTATATATGTATACATATAGGCATATATCTATGTATGTGTGAATGTGTTGCACATAGTTGCTGCTTCGAGTGCCGAGGGGCATCGCGCGCTGGCGCTGCTTAACGGCAGCAGCAGCAGCAGCAGCAGCAGCAGCAAGACAGGCAGCTTGTTTGCTTGCCGTGTAACCCATCCGTCTGCGGATATCGCATCTGCGGAGTTTGATCCTGCACTCTTTGACGTCAAAGCGAACAGCGACGCCTGCGGAAACCTCTAGTACGTACAGGGGGTAGGCCTTAAGGGATCCAGTGCACCTGTTGTGTTCTCTCTGGGGTAGGTGCGTAGATTGGGGGGGGAGCTGCAGTTGCGTCTGTAGGAGTATGTGGCTTGTGTGTTGCTTATGCCAGTTTTTCGGTGTTGTCGGATGCTCTTAAACGCGTTGAGGAGCTGAAGAATAGCGGTGCAGGAAGTGCAAAGAAGCAGGCTTTAATCCTGACGAACCTCTTCCGTATTATCATCTTTTCTTGTCCTCAAGTATGCGGTGTGGCTGCTGTTTTTCCCTTGGCTGCTGATTTTGCGCTGTCTGGGAAGCAGCTGGGGTCGTTGCTGCAGGGGTGGTGGTACGGTGGCTATTATCAATGTTGTTACGGTGGCTATTATTGCAGTTGCTGCAGGGGTGATGTGGTAGCTATTATTGGAGTTGCTGCAGGGGTGGTATGGTGGCTACTATTGGAGTTCTTATGGTAGCTATTGTTGGATTTGGTGCAGGGGTGGTATGGTAGCAATTATTGGAGTTGTTTCAGGGGTGTTGGTGGTATGGCAGCTATTAGTATGTTGATATATTCGTGGTGGCAACTCTTATTGGTACATTTGGGGTGTGTATTTTCGTTGTTCCTGTTTTCCCTCAAAGCGCACCGCGCCGCGCAGATGTGCGAGGGAAGTCGTTTTCTCTGCTGCGTGTGGTGCGCATGCATGCGTGTGTGACCGCGCAGTCTTTGGGTGCTGCGGCATACTTTTGTCTGAATCGCGTGGCTGCGGATTTTTTGAATGTTGAGACTGGAGTCGGTGATGCGCTCGTTCTTCGGGCTATGGCAGACACGTATGGCGCCTCTGAGGCGAACTTGAAGAAGGGTGAGGTGTTGTTGCTGCATGCTCGAGTCGAGATTATGTTGCGGACGGAGGAAGGGATTGTTGGCGAGGGGGGCCAGCTGCGACGTTCGCGAGCAACTCGTCGTCATGATGCACACCGTTTGTTTGCAAAATGTGCAGAGTTGAGGCGCCTTGAAGACTTGGGCCTTGTCGCGGAGCATTTGAACTCCCGCGTGCGGACCTTAGCGCCTCCGTGCCGGCTGTCTATACACCGCGTTTTTAGTCGCATGCAGCAGATTGCGACGTGCAATGGCAAGGCGGCTCAAATGCGAAAGAAGGGACTCATCAGGGAGCTTCTCGTGGCTGCCAAAGGCTCCGAGCCTCGCTTTATCACACGTTTCCTGCAGCAGCGCATGCGTGTCGGCTGTGGATTTGCCTCGGTGTATCAGGTGGGGTGCTCGTCTTCTGGAGTGCAGGATGCGTTAGGTGCATCCCACGCCTCCAGAGGCAGGTGTGCAGCAATTTTGCGGTCTATTTGTTTTACAGTTTCCAGGTCGGGATGCTGCTGCCAGTTGGCTTGAATGACGGCTTCTCTCGCCCCTTCCCTTGCGGCTTCTTCCGCCTCGGCATGTGCATGCAGGCCATAGCCTTCGCGTTTTGTTTGACGCACAATGCACGCGGCAATTTTCCTGCCATCGGCGATGTGCGAACCTTCAAAGGGTCCGAGGACGCCTTCTTGGCCGCAGATCTGGAGCCTGCGCTGATGCAGCAGCAGCGCGAAGCAGCTGCAGAAGTAGCCGCTACGGCTCCCCCCCCGCCAAGGGAGGAGGGGAGGGAACGCCAGCGCCTCCTCCTCCCCTCGTCCTTCGCGCCTCCTACGCTCGAGCTCATGCTCTCCCGCTTCGACACGGCTCTCAGGAGGGCCTTGTGCGAGCTGCCTTTCTTGGATTTGCTGCTGCAGCAGCTGCTGCGGGGGGCAGCCGCCGAGACGCTGTCGCAGCTCTGCCCCTGCACGCCAGGCGTGCCGCTGCTCCCCATGCTGGCGAGGCCTACTAAGGGCTATGCGGAAGTCGCTGTCCACCTCAAAGACACGCAGTACACTTGCGAGTTCAAGTACGATGGGGAGAGGATTCAGGTTCACGTCCTCCCCCTCCACCAATTCCAGGAGCTGCAGAAGCTGATCGAGTGTCACTCGAGTAGCAGCAGCGGCAGTAGTAGCAGCAGCAGTGGCAGCAGCAGTGGCAGTGGCAGTGGCAGTAGCAGCAGTGGCAGCAAGAATAAATCGCAACAGAAGCTGCAGCAGCAGCAACTCAGCTTTGGCAGACAAGAAAAACGCGTGCAGACGCTTCCCGAAGACAAGGGTCTGCGAGCAGCGGTTGCGACAAGTCCTCTGAAATCTACTGTCTCCTTAGCAGAAAAGGGAGAGAAAGAGGGCTCTGCCATCAATTCTGCTGCAAATTCACCGCTGACAGTTCGTCTGTTTAGCCGCAGCCAGGAGGATGTGACGGACCGCTTTCCAGATTTGTCACGGTTGGTGCTGGAGAACCTCGCGAGTTCGACGCAGAGTTGTGTGTTGGATGCGGAGGTTGTTGCATACGACCCGGAGCAGAATCAGCTGTTGCCCTTCCAAGTGCTGTCAACGCGACGGCGTAAAGGCGTAGAGGTCGGCGAGATCACCGTGCAAGTGGCGCTCTTCCTGTTTGACTGCATGCATCTCAACGGCGTCTCAGCTCTCGACAAGCCCCTCAAAGAGCGCCGAGAACTCTTGCACTCGGCTATCCACCTCTCGAAAAATCCGAGAATCCAACAGGCGAAACACCGGGAGACGCGCGACGAAGGCGAGTTCAGACAATTCCTAATGGACGCCATCAAAAGTAAGTTTCCATGCATGCATGCACGCCCTCGACAGACAGACCATCCAAGAGGCGACCACCTTTTCTTCCCACCATCCACCTCTTCCTCCCCTGTATTTTATGTCGAAAAGATATCCTTCTAGCTGCTCCCCTGTTTGCCTGACGCATCGCTCAAGCTCTCGTTGTGGCCCTTCAATGAGAATGCGCGCTGAGCGTCAAACGAGGCGTGGCTTGTCATGACGCTGCTTCAGGCAATTGCGAAGGTCTAATGGTCAAGTCTCTGGGAGTTGACGCTCCCTATGAACCTTCCCGACGTTGTAACTCATGGCTCAAAGTGAAAAAAGACTATGTCGAAGGCCTCACAGACACCGTCGATCTGGTCCCCATTGGCGCGTTCTATGGCAAAGTACACGCTCTTCCCAGTTGTTATTTTTCTCTGCATCAATTCAAAGAATGCCCTACTCTACGTAGCGCTCGAGAATGCACTGAGCTTTCGAGAGAACAATCTTATTGAGTCACGAAAAGAGGGAGCTGCGCACGCCTGAACAGGCGTCTTCTTTCGAAGGGAGAAGGGGTTCCTAATGGTATTTATTGCCGTGTTTGTTGTTCTTGGGGATGTTTTTGCTATTGTTGTAGATGTTTTTGTTCTTGTTGTAGAAGTTCTTGTTGTGAATGTTTTTGTTCTTGTTTTTGTTCTTGTTGTACATGTTTTTGTTCTTGTTTTTTCTTGTGGATGTTGTTCTTGTTGTTTTGTTGTAGATGTTTTTGATCTTGTTGTTGATGTTTTTGTTGTAGATGTTTTTCTTCTTGTAGTTTTTGTTCGTGTTGATGGCTCGCGCTTTCGGCGGCATCTGGGAATCAATGTTTTGCAGTAGGGGGTGGTGTGCTGCGATCCTAGGGAAAGCGGAGCGGTGTTTTTGGAGCATATCTCTTGGCAGTCTACGACTCGGGGGCTGAAGTCTTTCAGAGTACATGCAAGGCAGGCACAGGATTTTCTAATGAGGAGCTGCAGTCGCATTATGAGAGACTCAAGGACCACACAATTTGTGACAAGAAGCCGTATTTCGACTGCGAACTGGTTAGTAGGGCTCCAATGGGGGCGTTGCTGTTGAGCGGCTTTTTATCGCGGGAAGGGAGGTGGAAGGAGGAGGGGAGAGCTGACGACTGCGAGAGCAGATGAAGCGTTCAAGGCGGAATGTAGGGTGCTGCTTAGGGCTCCTGTATCTGAGAGTCTGAAACGAAGTTTATTTGGTGACGGCCTCCGCGGCGGTGCACCGGGAGGCGATGCCACGTAGCGCTGGCTTCTCTGTCGCCTTTCGAGCTCTTCCAGAGTGGCGAGCGTTGTTGCGCTTTCTCTGCTTCTCTCAGGAGCCAGACGTGTGGCTGGATGCTACCGAAGTCTGGGAATGCGCGGCAGCTGATCTCTCGATTTCGCCCGTGCATACGGCGTCTCGCTATGAAAGCTCGGAAGGAAAGGTAGGCCTAGTGCCCTAGTTTAGGGGTAGCTCAGGCCAGCTAGTTGCCAACAGCTGGTCTGTCTCGGCTGCTGCGAGCTGCAAGTTGAACTTTTGGAAGAGCTGCACTGCATGGCAGCCATGTTGAGGAAGGGCTCTTTGACTGAAGGCTGCGCAGTTCCCTGTATCTCCTGTATAGGGCGTGAGCCTCCGCTTTCCCCGATTTCTACGACTGCGAGAGGACAAGAAGCCGGAGCAAGCCACCACAGCCAGAGAGCTGTGGTGCTTGTACTTGAATCAGTTCAAACATCATGACGATCCTAAAGATCTCTTAGAGCCCGCTGCGCCTGAAGCCAGCGTGGAGTCGACGCGCGAAGCGCAGCCAGTGCCCGTGGAGGTGGTAGAGGACGCGATCGAAGGGGCGACGGACGAAGCAGGAAAAACAGAGGAAAACTCATCGCGCGTTGATTGAGGAACGCGACTCCGTGGGGAACGGGTGGGGGGAAGGCTGTGCCTCGACGGGGAAAGTACTAGTCGTGGTCAGAAAACACGAGACGAGGATACACCCCCAGACATAGGACGCACGTCCAGCGGGGAGAGTTCGCCTCGAGCGCAGCAAGTTGCTGCGAAAAGCTGCCTCTTCTGTAGGGGCCTTGCTTCTAAGTTCTGCTCGTTGAGGCATATATATCCCTTCATTACGTAAATCCAAACGCGCGTTTGTCTCATCAGGTAGCTGCCGAAGCAAGTAACCCCTCCTTCTGAGGGCGCTCTCCAGGCTGTTTCGCCGGCCGCAGAACCCGCACAAGCCAACGGGTTGGGTAGGGAGGTACCTTGTGTGCTGGATGCATGTGGATTGGCTGGAAATGCACCTGTGAAGATATCACTCACTTCTGGTTCAAGTGGCTCGTCCAGCATGTGGCAGGGCGTCACCACGTACACTGCAGTGAACGCTCAGATCATAAATTCATATAAAGGCGCAGTTCAAAGCCTTTCTGTGGAGTAGCGGCAGATGTAGTAGTCTTTTCTAGTGTTCATCCGCTGACGTACTCACCTATCTACCCGTAGAGTGGCGAACGGAAACGGAGGAGAGCAAGGGTCGGGGAGATCAGCAGAAATAGGAGCAGGGCTTTGGTCTTCTTATTCCTCCACACCCTTCAACGACCCAGTGCCGATAGCCAGAAGATACAAAGGGCAAAATTCCTCAGACAGGCATGCTTGGTGCCACCCTCGCGAGAGACTTTTGCAAAGGCAGCAACTACCATGAGTGGTCAACTGACTTCATGGGATGGTATTGCCATCGCACTCAATTGTCCGTCTAATGCATGCATACTCTCTTACTCGCTGAAAACTATGCGTCGCTGAAGATGAAAACTGCCCTGTCTTTGAGCATCCCTCACGCTCAGTTCCAGCCAGTCCTTCGTTGACGGTGCTCTGCCGGCGATAGTCTGACAACAGTTCTTGCTGTACTGAGGCTGATTTGATAATCTTCTGCATAGGCGAAGGTCCGTTTCCCTTGGAAAAGCAAGCCAGACACCAAGGAGGGGTGCGATATATGGAAAAGCAGGCTCCTCGGCTGTAAGAGTAAAGCCGCACTACCTGGCGTGTTGAATGTTGACGTGAACGGTAAGTGGGAGTGAGTCTCTTCATCCCTTTGACAGAGAGCGGAGCAGCCGTTAGCAAAGTTTCAGGCCAGGCAGCTGCGCGCGGACAGATTTTTTAATCCAATAGGTGTGCCTTCGTCCTTACTCTGCGCAGAGCTTAACACTTTGGTGAACGGCGGGTACTACAGACGGTAACCTTGAGGAGTTGAGTAAGTGAGGGTTAGCAGGACCCTAGACTGAAGCAACTTAGCAGAAGAGAGGCATTGCGGAATGCGTCTAGTGACATACAAGGGTGCTTCTTCGCGTATGGGTTGCAGAGCATTGCCAGCGCCGACGTCCTAAGATACAGCGAAGAACGCGTTTGACGAGGACCGCCGGCAATATGCCCCCTCGCTTCAGTCTGAGCTCTATTGAGGAGGACGAAGTAAAAAGCATCATCAAATGTATTGGTGTCAACACGCAGATAGGGGAGCCCCCACTACGCTGTTTTGGGTAGGTGACTCGACCCCTCTCGGACGCGAAGTCTTCCCGTTTCGCTGCTCACGAGCTGCATTGTGAACAGCCATAAGAAGATAGCAAAACACCTAGCAGCCGCAAGACCACCCAATGCCAGCAGTAACAGCGAAGGCTTGACATGAATTTCTGAATGAGCACGCTGTTTGCACGTGCCTTTTTCGCCTAATTCCCTTCCCCCTGAAGATAACCCGCCAGTCCACGTTCCTGGTATCTCCGTTAGTTTCTGTATGCATTTGAATGTAGATGATGCTTTTGAATTTTGCTACACATATTCCGCGCCTGTTCCATCTTCAACGATGCCACAGAGCGCCCACTGCTGTCTTGAATGCCTGGGCAGCAGGCCGCGGAGAGTCTACTGTGCGTTCCAAACCCTAAAGTAGCTACAACTCCTAAGAAAGCTCAAGGCGAACACTGCGTAGAGACCTCGCGAAAAACCCCCCTCGTGCTCTCTTTCTATCGCTTCCCAAGACCCCCCGCGGTACTTGCTGCAAACCAGTTCTATCCCTACTAGCCCCTTTCCAAAGGGTTTCCCCATGTGTCCGCTCTGTTATTACCCTCTAAAAGGGTTTGAAGAGCGAAGTCTCGAGGGAGAGACAGCACTAATAACCAATCTCCTGCCGTAACTGCTTGAAGGAGTACCTATTCGTAGACCCCCGCCGAGCTGCACGCCTCCCCGCATCAGCTGCACGGTCTGCAGCGAGTACTGCATACATCTGACTGTAAACCCTCGGCGTAACTCCCAAACACACAATTTCAACAAATAAGCAAAAAACATACGGCCGAATCACTGGGGAAAACCACCCCTCGCACGGCAGCAGCAGCAGCTCCCCTGCGGCAGCGGAACCCCGTGCTAAGGGAGAGGGCCTGTCGTGCGTGGCTTAGTACGCTGTAGCCTCAATCCAGCCGCAGCCGAGTGCCAGAATATCACTGCCCTGATCGCTCCTTTCTCTTAATAGACATACACACAAGCACATGCGCCCACACACACACATACATACATGCAGACACACACCCATGCCCAGCATGTCTTCCCGCGGCAGACGAGGGGTCATTGCTTCCCTTACGTGACCGACCACCACCACCTCTTCTTTTTCCTCTCTCTTCCCCTGTCTGCTGTAGAGACACCGTCCCCAGAGAACCCTGTTTTCCCTTTAAAAGGGTCTAAAACAACACGCCGGTCAGGAATTCGCCCTCGACCTGCTAAGCGGCAAATCGAGGCGGGGGGCCCTACACGCGTAGGGGGAGGCAGCGCCGTTTACGCGCACCTGAGGTGCAAACACAGTATCGACTCTCCGCAGCGACGCCAGTTACACAACCCCTGTGCCACCTGAGAAGGCAGCACGGGCACCTCTGGCATCAAGAGCACCACTGTCAACAGGAGCTGCAAAACACACACGACCATGTCGGCGCCGCACGCGCCGCCGCTGCTGCTGCTCTTCGCGCTGCTGCTGCTGCAGCCAGGACAGGGACGAGTGTTTCAATCGACACCAGGAGGCGCACTGCCTGCCACTCCCCCAGCCGCCTCCTCAAGCCCGTCTTCCTCCGCCTTGTATCGCATCCTCTCCCCTGACAGAGGGCTCCTCTTGACACCAGCAGCAGCACCACTGCGAGCAAGCGACCCCAGCCGCTTCCTCTTAGCGCATGCATTTCCCCCGCTGGGCATTGGGGGAATCCCTTGGCCTCAGGTTGAGGCTGCAGAAAATGGAACGCAAGTGCGACTCCTTCCTCCTGCTCCTGCGTCACATGCGCGTATTTAGCGGCTGCCGCCTGGCGCATGCGCCTTCTGCTGCACGCCCCTCCCTTCTCGCATTCCCGCGACGCCCTGTTGGTGATGGGGGGGCTTCCAGGGGCCCCTGAGGTGCGTGCATACGGCAGAAAGGCGCCCACACGTCTCAGAGCTCTCTGTGACTCCTGTGAAAGTGCGTTCTTGCGCCAGCAGGAAGAAGCCGAGGCTCAAGACCAAACGCAGCAGCAGCAGCAGGTGCAGAGGCAGTCCTGCAACAAGCACTGCCTCCTAGGTATGTAGCAGAGGGCTGGAGGCGGGGCCCTGTATGGCTAGCCTCCCCGCACAGCGGAAGTGGCCATGTAATGGGGGGGATGGGGGAGGACGGGCAAGCAGTGTTAGCGGTGCATGCGCGAGAAATCGCCACAGCTCCTGCACGCTGGAGCGACGCGCTCGCCAAGTGCACAAACAAAGGGGAGGCAGCATGGTACGAGCGCATGCGCTTTCACCGAAACAGCAGGGGTATGCATGCGTTGCACTCTGGGGCAGGCAGGCTGGCAAAATCCCCATTGAAAGTGTTCGCTTTGGGTGACTCAGGCGTGAGAGCGCGATGCCTGGCGCAGGGTGTTCGCCGCTCTGCAGCAGCAGCAGCAGCAGCAGCAGGTACAGCGGCCAAGGCAGCTGCGTTAGCTGCAATTCCAAGGTGTACAGACGGGCAGCGACTCCTCAGTGGGGCCCTTACTCGGCTGTATGTCCAGACGCTCCTGTATCCCATCGGTGCGCAACTTGGCTCTCCTTTCGCCTCTTGTAGATTTTTCAGTCGAACTTGCGTCAGCACACGGCCTCACGGCGCAAATGTCTGCCTCTTGGAGACTCTTTTGTGGCTTGTGGGCTGTCACATTTGCTGCAGATACACTTCGCGCGCGCTTTTCGACAATGGATCGACCGTTGGAGGTACTTAACTCGCAGGCCTAGAGCTTTTGGTGCTTCTGCTGCTTCTGCTGCTTCTGCACGGGCTGCTTCTGCTGCTTCTCTCGAGTGAGATGCGTGTGCTTCAGGAGCTCACTCTCGCCTCTCTGTATGAGGGAGCCTTGCCGGCCTTGTTGCTTGGAGACTTGCCGTACAGCCTCATTTGCAGTTTGGCGCAGTTGCACACGACCGCTGCGCTTAAGCGGCTTGCCCCGCGTAAGGCATCCAACGCTCAGGCTTTTGCTCGAAAGCCTTCTGAGGATTTCTGCTGGTGTGGCTGTTGTGTGCAAGTGTGCCGCTACGCTTGGGAAAGATAAGAGAGCTTGCAAGGCTGCGAGGCCCTTCAGAGCGATTAACAACGAAGAAACTTACTGTCTCTCGCCGCTTCCCTACCCCGCATATCTCTCCCTTTTGAAAATCATAACGGCGTCGAGTTTTCTTGCACCGCTGGTTGCGCTTGCTTACTCCCTTTGCGGACCGACGCTGCCACACCTGCTGCTGCATGCGCTGGACCGCCTCCTGCTGCTCGTTGGATGCAGATCTCCCTCCGTCTGTTGCGAGCGCTTTGGCGGCTGTCTGCACGGACAGCGCAGGCGTGGTATACAAAACTCCCCATGACGCGATGAAGGCTTACCGGCAGAAGGGGCTTGCAAAGAGCACAAG